ATGTTTACTATATACTACCCAGATTATCTGATTTACCTGTGGAAAACCGGGATTACTGTAATGAGAAATCCTTTTTCCGGAAAGGAATCGGTCCGCTCACCGGAACCGCTTCCCTCCTGGCTTTCAGCAAAAATCCTCGCCCCGCGTAACGGAAATGCCAGTTTTCTCAAAGCGAAACCTGACCCCCTTCTTGGCTTCCATTCTCCCCTACCCCCACAAAGTTCCTCACTTCTTCAATTTTTCGACTAACAATGAGTCAATGATTCCTCATTTTCAACGATGTTTCCCAGCACAAGGAGCCTTTTAAACCACCGCCCCCCCCCCTCATTTTAAAATGTGTGTCGTTTTCTGAATGATCATTTCAGCTGTTCCGCTGAATCTCGTGAAAATCGCTTGTGAACGAAATCCGAAACTCGCCTTCTGTGATTCTCATATCCTAGGTACGATTTTATCGATTTTTTAGTTGAACAGAGATCGTGCGTGGAATTCGAATTTTCTTGAAACGAAACCTTTACGACGTCGTTACACGGTGATGTAATCGACAAGAACGAGTTTTTCTTCAACAATGTGATGCGTCGCAAGTCATTGTTATCCTACACATTTAGGTTCACCCGATGGCGGTACCTCACCTACCGTTACATCAACGACTGCTATACCTTTAGCAGGTATCCCAGAAAACAGTGGAAGTGATGATTTCCTTCGCTGGCTGAACGATGAGAAAGACAAGGTGATTACTGCAATTGATTAGGAAGAGTAACTTCTCTCAGGTGGTATAGTGGCAAGTGGAACGCTTCCTAGGCACGCGGTTGGGGGCTCTAACCCCGCATGGGCTCCAGGCCATCCAAGCTTTCCGGGAACGGTAAAATAGCAACAGATTTGTCTGGGAGGATAAGAACACTGACTTGTACATCGGCTGGCCACCGCAAGTCATTGTATAGGCCACATCGCATTCAATAAGCCACTACGATTCTGAATGGAAGTAGAATGCGTGGCGCATCTCAAAAGGTCAAGGCAAAGACTTTTCCTTCAAGTTTTCTCGACAGGTAAGATCACCCAGCAGGAAAGCGGTCAAGTCTCTCGGCGGGGCAGATTAAGCCCTTTATGAGTCCTACACCCTCAAATTGACTGTAGTTCTCGGCAATACGCCAATGGTCGCGGTCGGCGCGGCAGTCCACATCAAGGTACACTCGAAATCCGGTTAGTACGTTAAGCGTCCCAAACGGAGGGTCGTGTGGATCGTCGACCGGTGGGGGGGGTCATGTGTTAGAGCCTGGCAAATTTTTATGACTGTGGAATATTCCCTAAAAAATCTACGGGCCGCCTGCGCACTACACATAGTGAACCCGTTTTAGCAATACGTGACGATGGGCGTATTAAAAATGAGGGATTTGGCGGGCGGACACCCAGCCCGTTCTGCACCCCTATTCCTGGTCGTTGCCGGCTTCAAATAATTTGTCTAGAACGAGCTTGGTGTCTGACGAATAAAGACAGCCTGCCTGACACGGCCTAGAACTACACGCAGACAGCGGGACTCAGGAATTCCTCGGATCATAAGGAGCCTGAGATGATCTGTTTTTGCCGGTGGGCTGCCAAAGCCAACCCCCTTGCTCGATTATGGGAGGGTACCGGACAGAGAAATATTTGGCATAGGATGAAGCGAGCTTGCCCCTAAAAGGCTCTCGCTCAGTAGATCAATTGGGGTTTCGGCTGCGGACGCCTTGCGCGCAGCCAACTTGCAGTTTTCGTTTCGGCCGCACCTCCCAACCCACACATCGAATGAAGGTTTTCGATCAGTGTCTTCTTTAATGATCATGGTCTTCTAATGAGCAGTCATTAGAACAAAAACGGCGATTCAATAAAATTATATAACTTCTCAAATGTTTCATGATTTTTATCGTACTTACTAGCTGGACCTCACCTTGAGACGATACAGCGGAAAGTCATCAACGCCAAAACATGGGTTCTAAGGAAAGCGAAACACTGTGCGAATATAAAGTACGTTCTTGAAGCCCAAATAAGCCGAAGCAAGGTAACAGAGAAGGAACTCAGTACCTATTCTGCAGGCCAACTTTGCTAATTACTGTAAAAATCGCATAGAAGAGAAACTGGAAGGGGTACTGCCGCAGTTCTGCGCCGACTACGCTCAGCAGTGTAGCGTAGACAAAAGGTCAGTGAATACTTTCATAGCTGAAAATTGTGAATACTCCCATAGTTGAAAATTTCCTTTTTTATTAAAATTCAATTGGTGATAAATAAGCAATGAAGGCGCAGTCCGGCTTGGGGGGGGGTCACCACTTTCCATCGTCCAGGGATTATAGTACTTGCTAGTGAACTCTTGTAAATAATACTTGTGACTTGTTATTAGAAAACGAAGACATGGGAAGCAGCAAAAGTGCAAAATGCCCCTCGCCCCTTCCAGTCCGGAAGAATCATGCCTTTCCCCATGACGATATGCATCTTCCTGCTGCTCTGTTTCGTTGTTTTCACGTTTTTTTGGAAGAGTTTATGCAGTCCCTCTAAAGTCAAATCGAGCGAAAGGCGCATTCTAAGTCCATGGTCGCGTGCGGATGCGTAGCGGCACCACTGCCTCATACTGGGTAAGAACAGCAATATGATAAATTCATGCAACTTTCGAATAGAACCCTTCATGAGAGAGAACATGGGACACACACTTTATAAACTCGCTCCTTGTAGCTAAATTGTAGCTTAGCGGCCGCGACGCAGTCGCACGCAACAGCTACTGTAAGTCTCATCTTTCGTCAAAAAGAGGGATGGTTGGGATCCACCAAATCTCGACCGGATCCCCGGAAAAAAAGTTCAAAAAATAACGTTTTGAACGCGCCATGCGCCATAGGGAAGGGCACGATGGTCGGTCTGACTCCGCCCATTCAATTATCGTGAATTGCGCTTTGCAACTAACATCAGTCGATAATTTACTAGGTTTCTACAATACTACTGATTATTTATTTCCAGCGCATTTCCAAGACCTGGTCCCCTTCCGAATGCTGAAAAAGAGACCAGCGAACCACAGACTGAAGCAGCTGCAGAACCGCCAACCCAAGTAGTTGGTGAACTGCCTAAAAATGCTGCTACTGAAGCAGCTGAATCTGCTAAAACTGCAGATTTCAAAGGTAAGATAAACTTTTGAAGGTCTTGTAGCAGTTACAAACTAACATATGAAATCTACCACAGCAATTGGTCGGGAGAGGGGGTCGTATTCGATTGCTGAGAAGAGACGCGATTGT